CATAACAAATAAGACACAACACCTATTCCCTCAAGCTAAGGTTAGACCAAACACTTACCTCGATTTCACGGCCACAAATCAAGCCTCAACTATCGCTTTCCCTTTTGATTCCACTTCCAATTCAATTGTATCTAGCCAATATTAACTTATTAACATCAATAAATGCTAAAAAATCTCATACCCAATGCTTAATTAATAGCTTTCCCAACATTTTCCCCAAAAACCCAAAAATCGACCTTGGGTCCGCTTGGTCAAAACTCGAGGTTCGGACCAAAACCCGAATATCCATTCACCCTAAGCCCAAATATGCAACTAGTTTCGGAATCCGACCCCAAATCGAGGTCTAAATCCCTAAATTTGTAAAATCTCCAATTCTCCTAAAATACCTAATTTCTACCCTTGAAGTGTTGATGGAAAATGAAGGAAATGAGTTCAAGAACACATACCTATGATTTGGGGTTGAATTTGCTCTTCAAAAATCGCCTAAGGTCTGATTCTATGGAAGGAGATATGAAAATATGGCTTATTTCCCGTTCTGCCTCTGTTTTAAGTGTTGGGCGACAGTGTTCATCGTGTTCGCGTGAGCACTGTCGCGTTCGCGAAGAGCTGCCATTTGAGGACTTACGCGAATCGCGGGAAAAGCTACGCGTTCGCGAAGGCTTAGCCCAGCCCTGCCTCGCGTTCGCGATAAAGGGGTCGCGTTCGCGTAGGTTTCCCTAGGTTCCCTGACCAGCCCATCCTAAAGCTATGCGTTCGCGGTTGACCGGTCGTGTTCGCGTAGAGCAGTCCCCCCCAATGCTCCACGTTCGTGACCTTGGTCTCGCGTTCGCGTAGGGTAAAATCCTCCCCAGCCCAGCTTTCCCATCGCGAGAGTGACTACGCGGTCGCGAGAGTGACTACGCGATCGCGAAGCATAGTGCCACAGACACCAGCTATAGCAGCTATACCAGATTTTTCCAAGTCAAAAACACCCTGAAGCCTATCCGCAACTCACTCGAGCCCTCGGGGCTCCAAACCAAACATGCACACAACCCTAAAAACATCATACGGACTTACTCGTGCGATCAAATCGCCAAAATAACACCTTGAACTACGAGTTTAGCATCAAAATCAAAGAAAAATCTCAAGAACTTAAGTTTCAAATTTCACAACCGAGAGTCTGATTCACGTCATATGAATTCCGTTTCTTACCAAATTTTACAGGCACAACTTAATACCATATTAGACCTGTATCGGGCTTCAGAACCAAAATACGGGCCCGATACCATCAAATTCAAACATCTTTAAATTTCCAAAAACTTTTATAATTACAATTAAACAATTTCTTTCAAAAATTCATTTCTCGGGTTTGGGACCTCGGAATTCAATTCCGGGCATACGCCCAAGTCCCATATTTTTCTACAGACCCTCCGGGACCGTCAAATCACGGGTCCGGGTCCGTTTACCCAAAATGTTGACCGAAGTCAACTTAAATTCAATTTTAAAGGCAAAATTAGCATTTTCCTCAAATTTTCACATAAAAGCGTTCTAGATATATGCCCGGACTGCGCACGCAAATCGAGCTGAGACAAGAGGAGGTTTTCAAGGCCTCGGAACACAGAATTGACTTTTAAAACAAGTGATGACCTTTTGGGTCATCACAAAGTCACTGATGTTAGAACTTAGAATGGTTCCATGGGTGGTG